TCTTAAAAATGTAATCTTTGTTAAAATTTTAGAATTTTAAAAATAAAATTTAAACATCCATTACGTTTTTTATCTTAAAAACATGATATTTATTAAAATTTCAGAATTTTAAAAATATAATTCCAACATCTATCATGTTTTTATATTAAAAATGTAATCTTTATTAAAATTTCATAATTTCAAAAATATAATTTTAACATTCATTACATTTTTATCTTAAAACTGAAGTCTTTATTAATATAAAAACATACATAATACCTGAGTTTTTTATTAATATAAAGTTGTAGTCTTATTTGTCTAATAGATAAAGCCTAGCATTCTCAAATTCTTCACCCTCGTTGAATGGAGACAAAAATTATATAATGTTATTATCGATATTGATTACACAAATTGTACAAAATTATATACTCTGATTAGGCATTAACAAGGCTAAACGTTCAATTTAATTTCAAATGTTTGAGAGGTTGTTCAAATCAAGATTCTATCTTTTAATTGTAAAAAATAAAAAGCTTAGCTATTCGAAAGATGATAAATAAAAGTTTTTTAATGGAATCTAAAGATTTCATTGCACGCACGGTTAGACTAATTAATAGTAATAGATATTTTGGGTAAGATGCCACTTATGATGCTTAAGTAAAAGTAAAAATATTATTATTTGTATTTTTTATTTTCAAATCAAAACCCCCTTCCTTAGTCTTCGTTTATGGGTTTGTAGAATTTTACAAATCAAAATTTTCATTTTTCCAAATCAAAACACCCTATCTCATTTGGTTCTTTAAACCATTTTAATTATTTTTTTGCAACCATTTTTTTCAAGTTTTACAATCGATTATTAGGACTTCAAGTTTCAGCAAATTCTTTTCCATGTTCATTTGTTTTTTGGTTTTTTGAGTTTGTAGTGCAGAAATAGGTGGGTCTTTTTATTTTCCTTTTTTCTATAAGCTAATCTTGGTATTTGCTTTTGATCCAGATACCAACTTTTTCTGATAGCTGCTTGGTGTTATATCTTTCCGTTCTTTTTCATTTTTAGGATTTAAAACCTCTTCAATTTCATCAAAGAATTCACCAAATAAACTTTTATTTCTTTCAAATTACCCTCAAATTTCTACATTATTATGAAAAATACTACTCATTTTTACTCTTTTCATGCTCTGTTTGTAGCAAATCCCTCAGTTATCGATTAACCGATTTATAAACAATCCATTCCTAGCATTACATCTAGGGTTTTGGAGCAACCAGGATTGGCATTGATAGGTGTGCCTTACCTTTACATCGATTTGTCCAACATTATCCACCCTTAGTTCATGTAGCGCTTGCTGCTTCCTTTCTTGCTCTTTTTCTATGGTGCTTCGAATCGAAAGCTCTGACGATTCAATAAGCCCACTGGTGGAGCTTTCAAGTCTTTGAATCGATTAAAAATTGTTGGTTTTTTGCTTTTTTTTTTTTTTTTGCTTTGGTCATGACAGGTGAAGGAGTTTTGAGAGAAACCCAAACGTTTATTTGGTATTTGCTTTTGATCCAGATACCAACTTTTTTACAGCTGCTTGGTGTTATATTTTTTCATTTTTTTTCATTTTTAGGATTTAAAACCTCTTCAGTTTCATCAAAGAATTCACCAAAGAAACTTTTATTTCTTTCAAATTACCCTCAAATTTCTACATTATTATGAAAAATACTACTCCTTTTTACTCTTTTCATGCTCTGTTTGTAGCAAATCCCTCAGTTGTCGATTAACCGATTGATGAGCAATCCATTCCTAGCATTACATCTAGGGCTTTAGAGCAACCAGGATTGGCATTGATAGGCGTGGCCTACCGTTACATCGACTTGTCCAACACCATCCACCCCTAGTTCATGTAGCGCTTGCTGTTTCCTTTTTTTTTTTTTTTTTATAGTGCTTCGAATCGAAAGCTTTGACGGTTCAACAAGCCCACTGGTGGAGCTTCTAAGTCTTTGAATCGATTGAAAATTGTTGGTTTTTTGCTTTTTTTTTTTTTTTTGCTTTGGTCATGGCAGGTGAATAAGTTTTGAGAGAAACCTAGACGTTTATTTGGTATTTGCTTTTGAACCAGATGCCAACTTTTTCTTACAGCTGCTTGGTGTTATATCTTTTCATTCTTTTTCATTTTTAGGATTTAAAACCTTTTCAGTTTCATCAAAGAATTCACCAAAGAAACTTTTATTTTTTTCAAATTACCCTCAAATTTCTACATTATTATGAAAAATACTACTCTTTTTTACTCTTTTCATGCTCTGTTTGTAACAAATCCCTCAATTGTGATTAACCGATTGATGAGCAATCCATTCCTAGCATTACATCTAGGGCTTTGGAGCAACCAGGATTGGCATTGATAGGCATGGCCTACCGTTACATCGACTTGTCCAACACCATTCACCCCTAGTTCATGTAGCGCTTGCTGCTTCTTTTTTTGCTCTTTTTCTATGGTGCTTCGAATCGAAAGCTCTGACAGTTCAACAAGCCCACTGGTGGAGCTTTCAAGTCTTTGAATCGATCGAAAATTGTTGGTTTTTTGCTTTTTTTTTTTTTTTGCTTTGGTCATGGCAGGTGAAAGAGTTTTGAGAGAAACCTAGACGTTTATTTAAGCATCTTTCACATTTCTTGAGTTTAGATTTTCACCATCTAATGCTGAATTGATTTCTTACTACTTGAAAAAAAAGCTGGATAGCATGTTGAGGTCATTTATGACATTGAAATGTCTAGACATGAACCTCAAGTTAATTAACTTTTTTAAATTATAGTTGAATTGCTTATCTACTTTACAATGTTTGATATCTGTAAGTATTTAAAATTTTAGAATTTTGTGTAGGTATTGAAATTTTGACTGAAAAGAATGAAAAGTTTTAAATGTTATTATTTGATAAACAAATGAAGTCATCAATTTTTTTTGACTTTTTTTTGTCTATCATCCATGGGATAAGAATTTAATACATCCTGACAATAATCATGTCACATCACTTAAAAATAACACATCATCGAAAAATATTTCAACTCTCTTAATTTACGGATGCATTTAATGCAATATTTAGATTCTATCCAATAACACCTTTATTTGTTACCATTCGAATGGTTAATGTCCTTATTTATTATTTGAAACTAAATTAGAATTGAGCAATTTTTCAATTGTCTGAAACTAAATTAAGCATTTAGTCACATTGATAAGGGTATGCACTTTGCCTTTTAAATAAAATATATAAAATTTAAGTGCGTTTGATCATGAATTCATAAATTTTGAGAAAAAAAATAATTTTTGAGAGAAAAAATATTAAAAAAAAATGTGATTTCTGAATTTTGACTTGAAAAATATAATATTTTACGTTTGATTTAGAGAAATATAAAATTACTTAAAAAAGTCTTTTAATATATTATCTTTGATGATACGTAAATAACACATGATATTTATAATATGTTACACATGAATAATATGTTGTTTTTATTGAATAAAAAAAATTGAATTTTTTTTTAATATTTTAGCAAATATAATTTTACAATCTTAATTAGTATCTTTACATTGATTGTCCTTACACGAAGAAAATACACGGATCAATTTAGAATTTTTAACTAATATTAGTAAGTAAATGTATTTTAGATTTTATATACAATAATATTAAGCCAATATATTTTATATTTTATTTTAATTTTGTTATGAGTAACAATATCGACTGCGTTTCTTATGCCTAAAACACAATATTTGTTAAAATTCTGAAATTTTGAAAATAAAATTTAACATATACTATTTTTTTATACTCAAAACATGATTTTTATTAAAATTCTAGAATTTGAATAATAACATTTCAACATTCACTATACTTATTATGCTCAAAACTAGTCTTTGTTAAAATTCTAAAATTTTGATAATAAAATTTCAATATCCATTACGTTTTTTATGCTCAAAATACAATATTTGATAAAATTCTAGAATTTTAAAAATAAAGTTTCAACATTCACTACGTTTTTATGCTTGAAATATAGTTTTTATTAAAATGTTAGAATTTCGAAAATAAAGTTTCAACATCTATTATGTTTTTATGCTTAAAACATAATTTTTGTTAACATTTTTAAAATTTGAAAATAGAGTTTTAACATCCACTACATTTTTTATTTTAAAAATACAATTTTGATTAACATTTTAGAATTTTGAAAATAAAATTTAAACATTTTGTATGTTTTTTATCTTAAGAATGCGATTTTTGTTAAAATTTCGTAATTTTAAAAATAAAATTCAACATCCATTATGTTTTTTATGCTCAAAATACGGTTTTTGTTAAAATTTTAAAATTTTAAAAATAAAATTTTAATATACACCACGTTTCTTATTTTAAAAATATGCTTTTTTTAAATTATAGAAATTTGAAAATATAATTTTTTTCAAATCCCAATACAATTAATATTTAAAATAATTTCAATTTCAAATAATTTAACATTATTGTGTTTTTCATTTTAAATAATTTAATATTGTTTAAAAAATATACATATGTTAACAATTATTCTATTTTTATTAAATAAATTCAAATCAATTGTATAAACTAAATATAAATTTAATCCTAATAAAATAAAAATTGAATTAATTTTATATTTTTTAAAAAATAAAATTTAAACATACTCATTGTCATATACCAAAAGATGAGACTTAAAATGCTTTATGCATGTTAATTTGGGTCATGATTTATTATATAAATTTTTTATATTTGAAGGATAAAATATAAAATAAAAATTATTTATCGAGAGTAAAAGTAAGATAAATTTTATATTTCATAAAAAATTTTAAAAAATTAAAAAAAATAAGGGATTTATGATCTAGGGCTACTTTCTCTCTTTTTAATACCGTTAAAAATCTTAAAATTTTTAAAAAATTACGTTAGGAGAGTCAAACGTAAGAGTCCATTACTTTATCGCAAATGAAATGCCCCAGTAGAATTAGACTTTTTGGATCAGGACAGGAACTATTTGACGTCGTCATCCGTAAGTCAAGACTACAAAACGAGGCTTTAGCTAATACGTAAGAAAGTCCAAAACCTAAACCCTTGCTGTTGCAGTTGCAGGCACGGCTGCTCTTTCTTGCTGCTCTTTTCTTGTTCTTTCTCAACCAACAATGGGCATTAAGGTGATTTTTTAAGCATTATTAAAAAAAAAAAAAGTAACATCTGGGTTTTCTCTTTCAGAATATTGATCTATGTTTCCGGATTTAATTTTGATGATTAGGGTTTAACGAAGCTTCTAGCCGACAATGCACCCAAGGCCATGAAGGAACAGAAATTCGAGAGCTATTTCGGTCGCAAGATTGCCATCGACGCCAGTATGAGCATTTACCAGTTTCTCGTCCGTATACGGTCCCCCTGCTTTTCTTTTTTTTTTTTTTTTGTTTTCTTGTTCTTTCCCTTATAAAGGAAAAAAGCTTCATTACCATATCCATTTGGGGGCTAAGACTAGCTAATAATTTAAAAAGGCTCTCTTTTGTTATGGGATGAGTGCAGATAGTGGTAGGTCGTAGTGGGACTGAAATGCTCACTAATGAGGCTGGTGAAGTTACCAGGTCTTTTTACTATATTTTCTCTCCAATCATTAATCCTCTTTATTTCTCTAGAGAATTATCTTTAGCAGATTCTTGTTTTCTTACTTTTCCTTTGCAATTACATTTTCACTCTTTTTTTCTAATATTGTTTTGTTGATAAAATGTTGACATGTGTTGTACTGTCTTAATCTTCAGTCATCTACAAGGCATGTTTACTCGCACAATTCGACTTCTTGAAGCTGGGATGAAACCTGTGTAATGCGTTTCTTTATCTTTTCTTTTCAATTTCTTGACAAAGAAGTTAATTTTTCAACTATTACAAATCACATCTTATGCTGCCTATATTGTACCACTTTCCAAAGGCCTCTTTTTTGCTAATGCTTGGGGCATATCGTTTCAGCTACGTTTTTGATGGGCAGCCACCCGATTTGAAGAAACAAGAGCTTGCAAAACGGTGCTTTTCTGCAATATATACAGATTTCTTATTGCTTTTTCCCTGCAAAATTGCTGGACTTTGATGTGTCTATTTTTGCTACTCCATCGTAATTTTGTACTCAAATTGTCATGTAGTTACTCAAAGAGGGCAGATGCTACTGAGGATTTACAGCAAGCCATGGAGGTACTTTTCTTCAGTTGTTCACAGAGTGATTAATATAGTTCCCTGTTATTGTTTTACCACTACGTAAAATCAAGCTGCTATTATTGTATTGTTAGACTGGAAATCAGGAGGACATTGAAAAATTCAGCAAGCGTACAGTAAAAGTGAGTTCTTTTTCACATCCTTCTGCTCCTGATACTTGATATGAGAGCTAACTGTTTTACTTGGCACTTATTTCTGGATGTCTAGTCATGGTAGAAATAGAAAAGATTTGGATAAAATAAAAAATGTGCCTAAAGTGCATTGTTGGCATTATATGCTCACTATATTTCCAGGTGACAAAGCAGCACAACGAAGACTGCAAACGGCTTTTAAGACTTATGGGGGTGCCTGTGATTGAGGTGAGTTGTCATGATTTGAGTGTGAGGTTTTAGGTTTTGGGGTTTAGGGTATAATTAGAAGCTAAATTGAATTAGGGACTCATGTTTTTGTTTCCATAGGCTCCTTCTGAAGCAGAGGCCCAATGTGCTGCGCTTTGCAAATCAGGAAAGGCAAGCATCCAGTTGACATGATAAGTTGTTTTTCTAGGGGTTTATTAGTCCTGAAAATGGAAATGTAACAACCCTATTTGCCTTTATGAGATTGAAAAAGTTCAAAATTCTTTTCAATACCTTTTTAAGAAGGGGCTTATTTTAATTTTCAGTTCTCTCACACCATTTGTTTTTGATAAACTAGTACTCTATATGGCTTAGGAGTTGAAATCATGCCTTCAATTTTATCAGGTTTACGCTGTGGCTTCTGAGGACATGGACTCTTTAACCTTTGGAGCTTCTAGATTCCTTCGCCATTTAATGGACCCTAGCTCGAGAAAAGTTCCGGTCATGGAGTTTGAAGTTGCAAAGGTGCTTTGAGCATTGCACACTGATGTAGTTTGTTGATTTTGAGTTTGCTGTTCTGATGGGAATATTTGTTAGGTTTTGGAGGAGCTGAATCTTACCATGGATCAATTCATTGACTTGTGTATTCTTTCTGGATGTGATTATTGTGACAGCATTCGAGGTATGCTGGGATTTTCTTTTAGAATGCCTGACCTGTATGTTAGGTGATCCACTTAAAATTTGGGTTATGTAGTTGGTATGTGATATCATTCTCTATGCCCAGGTATAGGGGGACAGACAGCTTTGAAGCTAATTCGTCAACATGGTTCTATAGAGCATATACTTCAGAATATAAACAGAGAGAGGTCTGAATTGTTTACGTATGGTGTCAAATGATTTATGCATATCTCTGTATAAAGTAACTCATATTAGTCTAATATTAATAAAAACATTTTCCTTATTCAGGTACTCAATACCTGAAGATTGGCCATATGAAGAGGCTCGACGGCTTTTTAAAGAACCATTAGTCTGCACTGATGATAAGCAGCTTGAGATGAAGTGGAGTGCTCCAGATGATGAAGTGTGCAATTGCTTATCCTAATTATGTATATTTTTCAAAGGGGTGTTAACTATCTGGTAAGTTTAATACAGCTGCATTATTTTGTCGATTTTCTAGGAGTTGATTACCTTTCTGGTGAATGAAAATGGGTTCAACAGTGACAGAGTGACAAAGGTATGTGCTCTCTTATTAGCTCAAACGATTACGATTTTTTTTTTGTTGAATTAATAAAAAAGATTAACTTTTTTTTTTTTAATTTTATTTCTTGTGTTTGTTAGGCAATAGAAAAAATTAAAACAGCCAAGAACAAGTCATCACAGGGCCGGTAAGTAATGCTTAGTTGCATAAAAGTAATGCTCAGTTACATGAAATGACATTAAAAGTTTCTGTACTATTACTTACCATGCCTTATATCTTTCTCTTTCCAGATTAGAGTCATTTTTTAAACCAGTTGCTAACACATCTACACCAATTAAACGGAAGGTATGGCTCCACTAAGCATTTTGAGTAGCCATCATTATTTGTTCTTGTCTTCTTACCTGGTGGCTGATCTAATGAAATTGCATTTTTACTCATTTTGACCGTTGTTGCATCTCATGCTTCATGTGACTTTAATTTTCTTTTAAATCTGCTTTAATGGTTATTGCTTTTTTTTTTTTTTTTTTCTTTTGGTACTTAAATGGTTATTGTTTTACTTGCATTACACTATATTGCTTCACCTTGCATAACTTACTTTGTCTTATGTGGGGATTTTGTCATTTTGTAAGATTTTCTTTTAGTCATATAGAAGTATGAAAGGTTGGTGTTTTGTTAAGTTTTGAGAAATATATTTGGTGTTAGATAATCATTCCTATAAAATTTATAAAGGAAAAAGTATGAAAGGTAATACATTCTCTGATGCTTGTTCTAATCTAGTCTAGACTTATTGGCTTCCATAGTTTCTCAGTACAATGGTTGACAGGGAAGCAAATGCATGCTTCAATTTCCCAAGCCAACAATCAACTCTTAAGATATTCTCTCAACTCTTAGCAATGAGATGTTAGCTCAGTGGTGCTGGAGTTGACTATAGGATTAAAGGTTTTGAGTTCGAACTCCTGTCATAACCCAAAAGATTAAAAAAAAATACATGGTAAAATTTCTTCTAATTTGCCAACAGTCACGTGGCCTGTTGGTAGAGTGCTAGACTTTTAATTCCAGTGACCAGAGTTTTAATCTTGGGAACCTCAATTAAAAAAAAAAAAAATTGTTCTGGGCCCAAGGGTTTTGGCAGCATGCCACCACTGGGGTTGCATTTCAAGCACTCAGTGGCATTTTCTAGAGTTGTCTGCTTTGGTGATGAAGCTGAAAACCATGGTGAACATTAGAGTGAATCTGTGTTCATCTCTATTTATTGAACATCAGATTCTTATATATTGTGGGGAAAGTGAATGTAGTGCTATTATTTGTGGTTCTTGTAATCGTAAATACATTAGTAGTGTTAATAATAGGAAAGTGCTTGTGACTAGATTTCTCCCACTCAAAGCACTTTTATCTTGTTAGATGCCTGCTAAGATCTTTTTTTCCTGTTCTTCAATCTTCTCTTGGGGTGTGGTTGATGACTGTCTTTGTCTTCTGATATCGCTTGTTAAATTGTTTATTGAATATATATTACTTGATCACTACACTATGTCATGTACTTGTGCTCTCTCTCTCAATTACATTTGAATAGTGGAATTGATTATGCACTGAATTATACTCTACATGAATTTTTCCTCATTGCCATGACAGGAAATACGAGAGAGCATCCCTAAAGAAACTACTAACAAAAAGCTGAAGGCTGTTGGGGGTAAGAAAAAGAAGTAGTTGAATGGTGGAGGAGCAACTGCATTGGATCAGGTTAGACTCGTTTGTTTTCTTGAATGAGTCTTTTCTTTAACTTATGGATTTTGTATTTTCAAACTCAGTCAATTGGAATGTCTATTGTTTGATCTCTGATTAGTGTACGGGTTGGCTCATACATTTGAGTTATATGATTGAAGTAGAGGTGGATTCAGTGTTATACGGGTTGAGATAATTAAAGGGTACTTGGCATCTTTACATCTTTAGAGGAAATAGCCCTTAATTGAGCAAACTGGCGAAAGTGTTGCCAAACTTAAAGCTTAGCCGATTTGAGCTGTGCATTACCATATCAGGATCTGCATAATGTCTTGCAGCATCAGAACAGCACCAGTCCAATCTAATAGCTACTTTGATAATTAGCGTTATTGTTTCCGTATTATTGAGATTTGAAGTTTTATGAGTTATTTGTGGCTCATTTCTTTCTTGAATGTGGTGAAGTTGAGAGAATGACTGAATTTGGAATTTAGATATAGGCTGAAAGAAATTCAAGTTTTATAACGTTACATCATCATTGTAATCATATTATTAATTTAGTATTCTGACAGCTGTATTTGCAGTTTGTTCTGGAGGAAGAATGCAAGTTTAAAGTTGTTCACTTGCCTTTGCCTATTTTAAGAGCTTGAGCTAAGAGCTTGAAAGAGATATTTGTAGCGGTAAATTGATGTAATCTAAACTCTGAAGACTTTGGTTCGCTGTTAAAACAGTGTCATGCAACTTATCTTCTTATTCACATTTGAGAGCTTTTGGTGTGGCATAAGCATGGTATAATTTCAATTTTGTAATGAGAAGGGAGCTATATAACCCGTCACCTCTACAAATTATGATAATTTGGAAACCTTTGAGGGAGGCAGGGGATTGATTCGGGGAAATTTTCCTCATGGATGCTGGAACGAATATATATATAAAGCAGGATAAAGGGGCTATAAAAAAGGTAAAATGATAAAGCGAATAAGGCAATAACAGTAAAACTGCCAGGTGATCAGTTTTGGTATAATTCTCTTTCGCAAACAAGATGCCAACTTGCTTATAGCTCTATCCTCTAATTTTCCAAGTTGCTTGAGTTACTCAACTTCAAGTGCCAATTACCTTAAAGCTGAATCTTATTTAGCCGAGCAAACCATAGAAATGGAAGGATGCTTTATGTAAAATGTGAAAACGCTCCCCTTCCATTTAATTTTCTCTGATAATTGAAATTTGGTCAAAGTGAATAATGGACGATGCCATTGCCTATGCCATCCACACCCTCCATTTGCTTGGTAGGGATAATGAAGATGAGGGATGAAAAGCTTTCCAATCGAAATGGTTATATCCTAAAATAGGAAGGTCCGAAGATAATTATGAAATTTGAAAGGTAGATTTAACATTTTCATCATTTCTTATTTGCATGCCCTCGAGACCTCAGCAGGCATTGGAGGAAATTACTTAAATTGAGGAGCATAGCTATTACACACTTGAAGCACAGGATCGGGGATGGGAAAATCACATATTACTGGTTTGACAATGTTTGACTGTTAACTATGGTAGAGGCATTTCATCACAAGTTGAAATCTCTGAAAATGTAATTGTGGCTTCTGTTCTCTTGAATGCAGAATGGACTCGATCACTTAGCACCTCTCTAAAACTGAGGAATGTACATTAGGCTCTTAATGATATATTTATTACTGCAAAAGAGGATGTTGTCTGGCAAGCATCAAAATCTGGTAAGTTGAACTTTCTCAGACTTGGGAATGGATCAGGAACAAACGCTTGATGGTGGTTTGGCAGAACTTGGTCTGGAACTCGTTTTCTCTTCCAAGGCATAGTTTTATCACCTGGCTTGTTGTTCTTGATAGACTGAGTATTCTTTTTCACATTAGAAAATGGGGGTATTCCTCTGACAAAGACTACTTGCTATTTTTGCAATACTGAGGAGGAGACTCGAGATAATTTTTTTCTCTTATGATTTTTCAAATGAAGTTTGGAGATTGGTTTTGGTAAAGTGTGGCTTTTAACGGAAGATTTCGAAGTTGGCAGGAGGAGCTTAGCTGGGTTATAGTCCATTCTAGGGGGAAAACTCCTACTACTATTTTTTTGATAGGTGCATGGACAACATGCATTTGTCTTATATATGGCGTGCAAGGGCCAAAGAATTTACGGAAAATTGGCGGTTTTTCTTCATCCATTGATAATACTTTTCAAGGCATAAATTTTGATGTAAAGTTTCATTTATCTAAGTTTGTAAAAATACAACAAGCGCTTCTGTTAAATTCTTATATCAAAATTGAGATATTGTATAGCAACTCCCTATAGTACTTTTTGTATTTTTTTATTGTAACAGTTTTTCAGCTTCTTTGGATAATGAAATACTATTTATCCATGAAAATTTCTATAAACAAAAGTAGGTTAAAACTCCACTTACAAGCCCGACATTGGACACTTCTTTTTTCTGAAAAAAATTTCCCCCTCACCCTCAATGGGAGATATGTGAATTAACCAGGCAATTACCATGTGTTGGTGTTCCTAAACATGATCGAGTCTCAATTTTATTGATGTGTAATATATTATATATGAATTATATATATATATATATATATATATATATAAGGAAAGAGAAGGGATTCATTTACATTATTGTAATTCTTATTTTTTTGGACCATTAGATCAAAATTAAATCTATGATTTATTTGAATCAAAATAATATTTTTAAATTTAATAATTTTGATTCAAAGGCTCAAAAAAATATAAGAGTTGCACCAGTAAAAATGGATATTTTCTCATACATATATATATATATATGTGTGTTTATGTGTACATGTATCCAGAATCCTTAGTACATTTAAACAAGCCTTGATCTATATGCATAAATATCTATTCTTAATTAGGATGAGTTAGAATTATACTCTTAATTAATGGGATTAGAATTTGTTTTACATGTGCAAATAGCCATTATGCGTGTCAGAGTTAACCTAAGTAAGAAATCAGTTAGTACATATACTGATGAAATTTCTCTCCTACACTTTTCATTCTAATCTTTGAGTTTAATCACTGCTCCAAAAAAGAGTATATCAAGAGGCTAATCCTTAGAGGTAGAAGTGATCTTGGCACTGAAGCAAGCGATGGAGTTCTTATTACCCCTAAACCTATTTGTTGGTCTATAATTATACATGATATTTGATAAAAAGGTAGTGGTTTAATTACCGTACAGGAATTAGAAAAAGTACAGCAAAAAAGAAGAACCAAATTGAGTTCATAACAATCCCTGGAAGACGAAAACTCGTCAGTAGAAGCAGAAATTAAATTTGTGCAAGAAAGATGATGTCCTTTCTGTTCTAAAGCGAGGGATGAGATAAGGTGGGAAGTCCCCAGTGAGTAGACAAGATGATACTGGGACATAGACCATCCATCTTCATTCGATCTACAATATCTGCATAGATCCTTGTAATCCTGTTTGGAACTATCAAAAAGGAAAATGTCTTCAAACTGAGCTTTCTGGAACGTGATAAGCGTAGGCCCTTAAGCCTTCCCCTTACATTCTTCACCCAGCACCTTCTAGGCCTTGCTACCTTGTTGCGATCATTCCTCAGCTTCTCATTGCGGCATGGCGTGTGGTGCCCACGCAAAATACCTCGGAAATAGATCTGCAGCATTGAACACCTACCTGGTGGGGAAAAAATAGAAGAAAGAAAGAAGAAAACCAAGAAAACAGAAAAGGGAGGAGCGGAGCTCAATGGACTTTAATGACGTGAAGATTGATGAATCATTAATATTACGCATATGAAGAGAGGAATTAAGCATGTACATGCATTTGATGCCTTACAACACGTGTAGCATTTTAACCTAACGAAGCTGCAGCGTATTGATATTCTACTTTTGCACACATGGCCAGCATCCATATTACAGTGATTGTAATTTGTACGTATTCAAGTCCCTTTTCCCTCGGGGCCAGTTTCAGCAATTATTAATTTTTTTATTTTAATTCCGATGAAAGGAATTTATACATTACTCATATGGGAGGCACATGTGCAATGATTGATGGCCATGTTCGGATGTGCAAGTCGAATCCAATCATTTGCAAAAGGAAAGGATGTGTATACGTGGCTGTATACATCATCTTTATCATATATATATATATATATATATATATATATGACATAGATTACATGTTAGTTGCATAATAGGTTGAATTCTATGAATCTAATCGCCGAATAAATGACAAAAGAAAAGTCAGAGCTAAGTATAATTTGTACCCTATTGAAGAAAACAAGTATAACGGTAATATATCATTCTATTCTTTTATTGGTGGAATGCGGTCTTATTATCTTAATATATACATTCAAATTCTAACGTAATTATTCATTTAAAACTTCATATATCCAGGATTCTAAAGAGAAATTTCAAATTAATTAAACTTTTAAATTTTTTGATATAAAAAAGTGAATTCTAAAAGTATTCAAAGTAATTTATTTAAATAATTTTATTAATTTATTGATTTTTATCATTTAAAAAATTATCCCTTCTATATAATATAATTAATTAAATTAATTAACTAATATAAATATATAATTCATTAAATTATTTATTTTCTGTTGTCTTATTTGAAATTATAATTGAACTTTTATTTTTTCTTTTAAACTTGAATTCAAACATAATAACTTCCATGATAATTGAAATTAATCAATAGTTACTTGGTAAAATATTGAATTGTTAGTTATAGCGCACACAGAATTAAGGGTTTGGATTGTTATCATGTCAATCGATTTGTAGTATTCAACCATTTGATCGAATTATAATTGTTTTGACTGTTTCTCCTTACAATAGAAGTGATTCAAAGATTTATTTAAAGTATAAAAGAAGTGATATCTTGACTTTCGCTTCTCCTTGTATAAAAGTGATTTCAACGTTTAGTAGTACTTATCATATCTTTTAGTGTTGCTTTCTAAAGTAAGGGAGTAAAAAATACACATATACTCGTAAGTATTCGTATGTGCTTTAGATAGAATTTGAATTTGATTTAATTATTGTTGAGTAGAGTTCAAATAATTTAATTTATCAAATGAGTTGAATTTGAATATTTGAATATTTAATTTAAGTAATTTACAAGCCTATTAAACATTTTTATTTTAATATATATTTTTATTTTTTAATTTTGAATTACGATTTTAGCCTTAAATATATATACACACACATACCTAATCTTATCCCTTGTTATCAGAATTGGATCGTCGATTGGATTAGTTGAATAGTGATTTAATATCTAAATCAATTCGATTTTATTATTAGATTAGGCTTGTAATTAACCCCCTCTAAATCATATTGAACTAGCAATTTAATTAATAAACCAAATTATCTATCGAGCCTTGAAAAAGATTAAACATAAGACAAAAACAAATCCACTATCTGTTTTACGCCAATTAATATGTAGAATAACTCTTGATATAACAGTAAAAACAAAACGTATAAGCAGATCGACTCATCAAATTCCCATTGAAATAGGATCCACAAAAATAAAAGCACTTGCCACTCACTGGTTATTAATGGCATCCCGAAAATGTTCGGGCC